CATCCGGAAGAGGCATGGCACTTTGAACTAGAACAATCTACCACAGTAGATGAAATAAAGGGTTTGGTTCAAAATTCCAATCACTTGAAGAAGGCTGGAGCATACAATGGCTGAAACGTGAATATAGCAACAAAGATGAGGACAATAGTTCAAACAATGTAAATAATTACAATAACTCATAGCAGAAATATACACAGATAACCTAGAACAATAATATTAGGCAATTGGTGGGGGAGTTCCAATTCCGAGCTGTTATCCATTATACCACCCACACAACCAAGCTTACAGCACCTGGTATTCCCAAGCAGTCACCCAGGCTTGAAGTTGCTTAACTTCAGTGATCATACAAGGACCAGTGTTTCAATATCATAATTAAATTTTTCATCTTTAATCTTAAATCTGTCTAACTTACAGCATCTTTTATTGAGAATTTGGTAAATGTAGTTCCAGTTGCCTCTTTCCTGAAACATAGGACCAAGTTTTGCATTGGGCCATAAAAATTGGGTTCAATTTGCTTGCCATTTTGAAAAAAAAAATTAAAAAAAAATCCTGAAATGAAAATGGGATCAATTGAGGCTAAACATTTATAATATCCATTGATAGACAGAGAAAAACAAAAGATAGAAAAACAATTGAAAATTGCCTTTTTTTTTCTTTCTTTTTTGAATGTGAAAGAAAGAACAAATATTATTTAGTGAGGTAGATTTTGGTTCAAGTGATTCTTGAATTAGAATCAAAGTGTGTTGGCTGAGAGAAAAAAAAAAACAAAATAAACAACAAAGCATAGGAGAAAAGACAAATTAAACATGATGAGAGAGAAAAAAAAAAAAAAAAGAAATGAGATAAAGAAAGAGAAGAAAGTAGACTGGGTAGAGAGAAAGATGCATAGAGAGAAGGAGAAAGATTAACAAAACCAAATCTCTGATAGAAAACTTTTTTTAAAAAAAAAAAAAGAAAAAAAAAAGAGAGTTGGAAATGATATAAAAACTGTACCAAGTTCAATAAGATGATAATAATAATAATAATAAAGAAGATTAAAGAGAAATGGGTGTCACATTTTTGTTTCATTTAATCTGAAAACAGAAAACATAAAGAAAAGAAACAAAAATGGTCACAAATTGCAGGATATTCTCTTGAGATAAAAATCAAAACAAAGAGAACAAGAGGCATAAAAGTGTTTCATAGAAGTAAAAGAGAAGAAAGAAAGATACTTTATTTCATTTAGCACATATATTGTGAACATGCCTTATTCAGAACTTTGAAGAGCACCAAACAACTTTTCAAAACCAGAATAAACAAAAATCATAGACCCAATTCTGATGAAATGAAAATGCCTGAAAATCACTAATAGGAATTCTTTTTCATACTTCCCCTACATATAGATTGTGATAATGATATCAGAATCTAAATTTGGGAGAAATGTATACTTTAAAGCTCCATATTTTAATTCAGACATTCTCTTTGATAATCATTAGAAAAATTAACCAAAAAAGTTACATGGTCTCCTGGTGACATGTTTTCTGACTTTTCAAGAATATAGGTGCCGTCAAAAGTTTTCCATAAGATATATTCTCAATATAATAATAATAGTAAGCTATCAACAAAGAAGGAAAGAAGAAAACATTATGGAAGAGAAGCATTTTGAAATAAGAGGCAGAAAGAGAAGAAATTGCAATTAAATTTTGAAGGTTACAAGCCACAAAGGTCAAAGGGTAAGAGCAAAACATTTAATCAGGAGGGGTTGGTGAGTGACAAAAACAAAGTAGTGATGGTGGCAGTGGTGGGGAGGGAGAAAGAAAAGATTAGAAAATGAAAAAGAATTAAGAAAAAAGTAATTAAAAGAGAAATTACAAACTGGGAAAATTATTACTTAAACATTATTTTCTTCTTTTTAAATTGCTTATTTTTTATTTTCATAAGAGTGACGAGCTAGTTCAGTGATTAATCAATTGACTGATTGACCAAATGGATGGATGATTGATTTTTGTAATGAGTTAAACATAAAGGGGGGGAAACATAAAATATAATTAGTTCATTATGTTAAAACACAGGTTAAAGAAACTATTTTGTGCTGATAAAATAGCAACATTTAAAAACTGAGTGGTAAGGGAGGACACATTTCAAAAAGAAAGGAAAGAAAAAAAGAAAATGGATATTTACCTTTAATTAATTTTACCTTTAAAAATTTTATATCTAAAAGGGGATGCTGAAAGTCTGTGGCCCAACCCCAAAAAGTAGAGTAATCTGAAGTTGGGAATTGGATCAGTGTGAGAAGAGAATTTCCAGCATCCCAGATATATGCAAAAGAATCCTTTGTTGTTTACAAGATTATCCTAATTACTAGAAAGGGCATTGTGGATGTGAATTCTTGACTCTCAAAGGAGCTTTTTCTGGTTTCCAGTGTGTAAAGACAAGGATAATGTAAAAGTGACAAACCATATTATATAGAATATATTGTTAAGAGATTCATCCTTTTGTTCACTCATAGAAAGACAAAGTAGTAATTTTCTTGGGGGGGGGATTCATCTTGTCAGTAAACATTTAAGGGATAAGATCATTGGAAATGGTCAAAGGCATTGTGAATATTCTAATCACAAATGAAGTGCCAATCAACCTGCATATTTTGTTCTCTTTTGCATATGTTGCTCCATTTTTCTGACAAGAAATAGCATTTTGTTCAAAGGTAGAAAAACAAAGTCCTACCAAATTAGCTAAGAATTTACAAACACAAAGAGTTTTGCAATATATTTTATTTACATGCATTAGATTAATGTTTTCATGCTCTCACACTTTTTAAAAATCACAAATTAAGTGTAATAAAATAGAAAGGTAACATCTTTTAAGTCTAAATGATTGAAAAAATAATGCCTAGCAATTATTTAATGTGAGCATAAATGGTACTTTAAACAGATAATTGGCAAGTTAACCTACAGGATAATGTGATGTTTGTTTGTCGACATACACATTTGGTATTTTTAGTTTATTTAATAGATTAGCAATCTCATTAATTTATCATGTTCAACAGGAAATATATATATATATATATATATATATATATATATATATATATATATATATATATATATTGCGTATGTTTAGGCAGCAATTTTTTATTGATGCATGTTTCATTAAATAATATAGACAAGTTTTATCTATTTATTTTAAGTAACTTTCTTTCATATTGTCTGATAAGCTTAACAACATTATCATTGAAAGGACGAAAGGAAAATCACCATATTGACACATGTTTAAATCCTATCTAAGCTTTCGGCTTACATAAGCCATTATCAAAGATGACAATTATTTCAATATATCAACCAATACACGGACAAAACAATAATGATAGTCTGTTTTTGTTTGCATGAAAAATTTCAAAGCAACGACTAACTTGAGTATACGAGACGCGGAAGTGAAAATTGCGTTGCAGCATGTGACGTCACACATGACCACGTGAGAGTGAAAACAAGAAGTATTAAGTATGGGAAGCCGTTGGTATATGGCTTCTGTTATCAATTATAGGAATTTAAGAATATTTGTGGAGATTTCGTAGTTTATTTTGTTCAGGTTAGGTTTCAACTGTTTTATATATATAGCTTCAAGAATTTTTAGTTTTTGTCTATTGTTTTCATGTTAAAGTATAGTTGTGTTTTCAACAAGGATTTTCTGGAATTGTGTATGTGGCCAGGCATGTTGTTTTAAATGCCTAAAAATGTTAGAGTTATCATTCAAATGTAGAGTCAAGCGTCGTGAAAGCGAGTTTGTGGTGTGACCAACATAAATATCATTTAATCCATTGGAGATACAATCTCCCAAAGGGCACTTGAATTTGTAAACTATGTTGGTTTTTTGGAAATCGCTAACTGGGAGGGGGAAAGAATCATTGCGAATAATTAAGTTGAATATACTAGATTTAGTGTAGCATATGATTAACCTAATTTTTTTGGTAGGATCTGTTGTAGATATATTAGTATTTACTAATTTTTTTAGTATATTTTCATCTTGTTTATAATTAGTATGCATTTGACTACGATATAAGAGATTAATATGTTTGGGATTAGTCGAAGCAGTATTATGTTCTATTTGCTTAGTATTAAGACTTCTAAGAGAGCATTTTATTTGTTCATCAACTATATAGTTTGGAAAGCTATTATTAATAAGTGTTTGTTTTATATTCTTTAGTTCAATGTAAAAAAAAACTATTTTGTAGTCAAATTAGTTTCTGCACAATGTATTAGATTTTTTATAATTGCTATTTTGTAGTAATATGAACATTCGCTTTTGTAGTTAAGTGTACATGAATTTATGCTGGTAGGTTTTTTTGTATGGCAAAATAGTAAATTTGTTATTATTTGTGTTTATCAATATGTCAAGGAAGGGAATTTTATTATTAGTACCGAGTTCATACGTGAATTTAAGGACAGAATTATTTTGGAAATGTTTGTGAAATTGAAGTAATTCATCTGTATTTTTAACTAACATAAGGATATCATCAACATATTTTAGATAGATGGAAGGTTTTTTAACATCAGTAAATATCTTATTTTCGAGGTTCGACATGTAGAAATTGCTAAATGTCGGACCCAGTACTGAACCCATGGAGACACCATCATGTTGTATATACATATTATTACTATGATCTAAGAAAGGGACTTCCGTAGTACAAGCTAATAGTAGTTTCCGCAATATATTCAGATTAATTTTAAGTGGGAGTAAATATATATATATATATATATATATATATATATATATTGTGATTCTCATTTAAGTGTGATTTTTTTTTTTTTTCTAAATATGGTAACTATTGTAATATATCAGGGGAATTGGGAAATGCCAAAGAGTCTTTCCAATGACCATTGGGAACAATATTTTTAAAGGATTCAATTGAGAGATCCATTTTCTTTTTTTTTTTTTTTTTTTTTTCAATTAAACATTCTTGTGTCCTGCCTTACCTGGGGATTCAGGTGCCATGCAGTAAGTAGACTGCCCTACCCTTTACTTACAGTATTGACTATCTTGAGCAACGCTTTGTGTGTATGTAGCGGTGTTATTACCAGCCCAACTTGTGGTGGTACCTGCAATACAAAACTAAGCAATCAGAAACAGAACTCGACAGTGACAAGCTGGCAGAATTATCTTGTTAAAAAGAAAATGCCTAACAGTGATTCATTTTCAAAGATGATAGAACATAGTGAAGTTACATAACCTGTAATAATAAAAACAGTTAAGGTTAAAAAATTTTCCTAGTCCCCACCCACCAACTCAAAATTAATGGCATGTCTTAAAAAAAATATCCCTGATACAAAAAAAAAAAAAAAAAAGTCACAAGCCATCTTTTTTTTTTTTTTTTTTTTACAATAAATATTTTTTAAATAAATTTTTATGAGATTTTTCTATTCATCTTTATTTCTGCACAACACTAAGGTTGTTTTCAATTCTACGACTGGTAAAAACAAGCATTACAGATTAGAAATAGTCTCTGATAAGACTTAAGTTCATCTGACATAGATACCTTACCCATTTTGCTACAATGACACATCTGCAGATAAAATACAATTTTACAACATACCTATTATTATTATTATTTCTTTTTTTACATCTAGTAGTAAATATAATAGTAGTAGATATAATAGTCTCAAATTGTCTGAATTTCAGTGAGGCATTTTCATTATTCTTTTTCTTTTTATCATGGTTAATGTTATAATAAATGGAAGTCTTGCTAATATGTTACAAAAACTAATTGTATTTTATTGTGTGATTACTTTGTCAAATGTAATACTGAATTCATAAAAATAAATAATACTTTGTTTTGTTTTTTCAGAATTTTCTTAAAATGAACAAGAATACCATCTTAAAAAGAACCTTAATTCTGTCAAAAGTTATGATTATAAAAACAGGCAAAAATACCATATGTAAGTTTTTTCTGAGAGTGGCAAAAGACAAACATTTTTTAGTATTACAAACTGTTGACAAAAAATTAGTTTGAAAATATACAAGATTTGAATAGTATTTAAAAGCCTTAATATTATTTCTAAATATTCTTGAGAAACTTCTCAAAAGAAGAGAGAATTTGACTGGAATGTATGAGAATCAGTTCAGAAGCCTTGACACAACTTAATGAGTCTGAGGAAATCTTACTGTACATGAAGATACTCTCTCATAAGGTTATCAGTCAACAAGGAGTGAGTTTGTGCACTGTGTGATCAACACATTCCTTATGATAATGAATCTGCCCATTCTTCACATTTTATATAAGGTTTTTTGACAAAATATTGCATTGGCCAGGGTCTTGACTGTTTAGATTGGGCTCTGGCTTTTACCCCAAAACACTCAAATTGTCACAGAAAGAGTGGGAGTTCTCAAAGCTTGAATGAGATTCCAAAGAATATAATGAAACGGCCGATGACAATCCAGAAAGAAGTCATTGCAGAAGGTCATGAAATGAAAAGGATGATGGGATGTGTGTGTATGAGGTCATATTGCTCTAGATGAGGTTTTTTGTTTTTCCTTTCCATTAAATGGCTTAATACTTTCAGAACATTATATATATATATATATATATATATACGTGTGTGTGTGTGTGTGTGTGTGTGTACACGTACATGCACAGAGTGCGATGAGTAAATTGTCGTCATTTTATTTTTCACGCATACATGTTGTTTGTTTTTAGTTTTGTCAACTGAGCTGTATAGTAAGGTCAATTGGAGAAATAAGTGCACCATAATGCAATTCACTCTGCCAGAAATTTGAAAATGGTATGCTGTACTACTTGGCATTCAATGCAGGAAGCTCCAATATGAACATTTCAGTGTGTTCAGGTGTCAATCCGAGGACTGTGCAGAGGAGATAGTGCTGCCCTGGGTCAAGAGGGTGGATGCTGGAAGATCCTGTATGGCAAGCAGAAGAACCCAGTCATGGCTGTCAGAAAATTTCTGCAACCACATCAACCCTTAAATCTGGCCAGCTAACTCCCCAGACTTGCACCACCCTTGATTATTATGTGTGGGGCGCAGTTGAGCAAGAGACCAAAAAAAAACTCTTCATAATACCAAAGATGAACTGAAGGCAAGGATTATAGCAGCATTCACCAACTTACACAAGAAGACTGTCCAGAAGAGTCGCAGGAGATTCCAAAGTCATCTGGAGGCCATGGTTGAAACCAATGGCAATTTTATTGAATAAATTTACTCTTTAGCATTTCAAGATATTTTTGTGTAATTTTGGTAAATATATGTTAAAATGAGATGCCAGTGTTATTTTCATATTGTAATTTAGAAGTCAATTTATTCATTGCACCTTGTATATGTATGTGCACACACACACACATATATACACACACATATATATATATATATATATATATATATATATATATATATATAGGCCAAAGTTTTGTGGGAGACACTCTGGACTTCAAAGAATTGCCTAATAATGAAATTAACACATTACTACATAAAGTTGCCTTAAAATCTTACCTCCTTTTTACTAATCTACCCTACTGGGTAATAATAATCTTAGGGCTGAAAGATTAACATTTTTACATAGGATTCTCTCTAAAAGATCAGATGCTCTGCACTAAAAGGTTAAATAGTTTCAGCATTCTAATTTGGTAGGAGGTAATTAAACTAAAGTAGGTACTAAATCCAGAGGTGTGGCCCTAAGCTTTTGGTCTAGTATTTGTGTGTGTGTGTGTGTGTATACACATATGTGGGAGGTTATCTAGTTGAAATCAGGTTTTGGTTTAGTTTGTTTTATAGCATATCAACCTCAATGGGTTATTTAATACTGACAAGATGTTTATTATTGGTAATATCTTTTTTCAAAAAGTTGTTCTGGCAATATTTTTTTTTTTCAAAAATGTATTGCTACTAATAATTTTTTCTTGAAAAACTTATCACTGGTAATAATTTTTCACAAAAATGTACAGCTGGTATTAAAAAATATTTTTACACTTTCATAGTATTTTGGCCCCAGTTTGTGGGTAACAATTTGCCCATAGCTGGGACCCTAACAGGTGCTACTGCCCCAGGGACACCAAGCAATTAAGAGGTAGCTCCACACTGCTCAAAACCTCCGGATCAAAGACCTTGCTGTCAGATGTAGTTTATTGTCTTACCCAGGACAATCAGTTTTAAGGGTAACATAACTCAAGTGTTAGAAGTGATATTTGATAACTTATATTTTTAAAATGTATATATTTATTTGGATAGAAGATTTTTTTTTTCATGTCAGCCACCAACTATACTGCAACAGCCAGTCATTATAATATACAATTTACAGAACAGAGGTTAGAAGAGAGGTGTTAAGACCAGAAGGTGCAGTGCATAATCAAACAGGGTTTTAGAATTAGAAGCAAGCAGTGAGATGGTGAGTGGAAAGATAAACCAGAGTTTCAGGAATATGCCCACTGGGAAAATGGTTGGAGCGAAAAAAAAAAAAAAAAAAAAAAAAAAAAAAAATCATATAAAAATTTCAAGAATCCTTCATAAATTTATCCAATAAATTTCTGTCAGAATTGGAATCCAAAACGATTCCAAAGTAGAAGAGATTTTTCTTTTTCAACTCAACCAACACAATTTATGTCTGAAGTTTTTAGATGAAAAATTATTATTATTATACACTGATTTATTCAGATCAAAGTCTTGCTCTTGGTTGCTATAGTCACAAAGTTTGTGGTAACCCCTAACCTTCCCCAATTAATAATAAGATATAATAACTATAAGACATCTTCTAGCATGTTTGGTAGAATAAGAACAATCAACAGTTGTGGATTAAATCAAGGTTTGGGTTCAGAATTACCAAATGGTTAACCAACTATAACAGATACCTGATGGTACAATGGCAGAAATGTTGTGACTATAATAACCAAAATGAAGATACAAGTCTAAGTAAATCAATGTGCAATAATCAACCAAAACAAATGCCAAACAAACAAAATTGAATGAACAATTTAAAATAGACGAGATTATATGTTTAGTCGATTAGATAGGACTATCTGTAAAAAATAAATCTCTTAGGTTTCGTAAACCATGGAAAATGAAATGTTCGAGCAAATAGGACCTCAGAGCAGGATACAAATGTATCTGTCAAGTCACGAATATGCAAACAGGTTGTCATCATTATTGATGGATCGTGACGGTACAAACCAGCTTGAAAATAGGAAAATCAGGTTTGCTTTTATCCCAGTTGTTGCGAAAAAAAAATCTTTTTCCACAGGGTTGATTTGTAAATACAAATGACTAACAAGTTCTGAAAATTAAGCAAGAAATTAGGTCAAAATATTAAGCATGAAACAAATCAATAAATTTAATTATGAAACACGTAGTGGTATGTATGCTTGTAGAGGTAGGGTAATGATTTTGCATTGCTGGTCAGTAATAAATGGATCACTATTGTGCTTTATGAGGGCTGTGTATGTATGCATGTGTTCTAGTCACATCTGAAGATCACAAGAGTGTGAAACTTGAGTAATGACTGGAGATGTCCTTTATTTAGGGCAGACGTTATGAAGCATTTTTTGCTCTGTTTGGGCCGTCTGAGGTAAGTGTTTGCCTCTTGGTCTTTTTTTTTTTTTTTCTTTCTTTTTCTTGTTTGTAATTTTTTCTTGCCTAGAGTGTTAGGTCAGTTGACATGTTGTCTGTTGGTCACACCAACATCCTTGGTAGCTCTTTAGTAGTAGTAGTAGTACTACTATATATATATATATATATATATATATATATATGAAATGTATTTTATTTTTAATCTGACATTTTATACTTTTATAACTTCAAATGTTATTTTAGTAGATTCTTATATTTGAGTAGACGCTCTGCTTATTTTAAACTGTATTCATTTCATCTACTGGCTTGCATACTTGAGAAAACTTAAGAAAATGTGTCCTTCAGCAGAATTCAAACTTACAATTGCAGGAAGAACCACTGTCTGATTCAGAGGGCTTTTACCGCTCAGCTACGATGATCTTCAAAAGAAAACAAGGTTCTATTTTGCATTTAATGCGCACTCACTTACCTAATTTTCTTTTAAAAATGCATATCTACTAAGTTTCATATCTGAAATGTAAACAAAGCAATTTTAAAAAATTAAAT